CCACTCCTCGGAAGGAAGGTTGGGCAATCCTACTTCCGTAGTGATACTGCCTTGGAAACCCAAGGAGGGGTCACTATGAGTCGGGGCCAACTCAACGGCAAACAACAACAACAACAAGAAGAACACCTTGATCACTGAGTTCATGTTACTGCCCCCCCATCAAATGTTGTAACTGAGGTGAATACATCACTTAAAGCAATAACTTTTAATATTAAGCTTGGTTTATAGCTGTACTGTCTAACACAGAAGCCACTAGTCACATTTGATTAAGAAGATGAATTTTTAATGTATAATTTTAAAAAACTGATATTCAATCCAGTTATTGGAAAGCTTTTCAGAATGTTAAGAAAAACTTAGGTTTATAAATCTACTTTTTAGTTGTAAATTTTATGAAGTCTGATAGTGGAGTGGTTAAGGGATTCGGTTGCTAACCAAAAGTTTGGCAGTTCAAACTCACCAGCTGCTCCACAATAAAAAATAAGGCAACTGCTTCTGTAAAGATTTACAATCTTGGAAACCATATGGGGCAGTTTTACTCTGTCTTATAGGGTTGCTATGCGTCAGAATCAACTTGGCAGTGGGTTAAATGGAGATCAAGTATTTGCAATGAAAATTTAGCATCTAATTTGAGATGTGTTGTGATGTCTGTCCTATCTTCTCAAAGACAATGGATGAAATCAATGCTTGCTTTACTGGAGGGAATAAAAATAATAAATTATTGTTGCAAAAATGGATTTAGGACCCCAAATTTGGGGTTTTTCTTATGACAATCTGTGGGAGTCAAAATGATGGCTGTCCCAAAGATGACCTATTCTAATTCCTGGTACCTATGAATATATTACCTTACATACAGCAAAAGGACATTTGCAGGTGTGATTAAATTAAGGATTTTGAGCTGGGGAGATTATTTTGGATTATCGAGGTAGGCCCAGTATAATTATAAAGGTCCTTAAAAGAGAGAGGTAAGAGAGTCAGAGGAGAGACAACGTGACAAAGGAAGCAGAGAGACTTAAAGATGCATCTCTGGGGCTTTGAAGATGGAGGAAGGGGCTCTGAGCCAAGGAATGCTGACAGCTTCTAGAAGCTGTGTGAGGGAAGGAAATGGATTCTCCCCTAGAGCCTCCTAAGGGAGCGCAGCCCTGCTGACACCTTGATTTTAGCCCGAGGAAACCCATTTTAGACGTTTGAGCTCCATAACTATAAGGTAACCAATGTGATGTTTTGAGTCAGGAAATTTGTGATGGTTTCTTATAACTACAATAGGAAACTAATACACCCTCTTCAAGAACATAGAAGAATCAAAAACAGTATCATTGCTTTCTTATTTTTTCCTTTTAAAAATATTTATTGTGCATTGCTTTTTAATAAAATGTGATTATTCATAATCATAGGTGATTGCTATGAACAGTCAGATCATTTATCATGCTTTCCATATTTACTTTTGAGCGTTGTGGTTTAGGTGATAGTTTACAAAGCAAATCAGTTCACATTCAACGATGTATACATATTGTTTTGTGACATCGGTTGCAATCTCCTCCATGTGTCAGCATTCTCCCCACGTCTACCTGGGGCTTCCCATTTCCTTATATTTCTTGGTCTAACTAGATCAATATCCACAAATGACTTAATAGTGCTCCAATAAAATGGCATAAAACAAGACAAACTACTTGGGACAATTTGGTAGTGAATTCAATTTCAAACATCTTCATGGCCAAGTCTTACTTTTGATTGTGTACTTTTGTGTGTGTCTTTATGTCTGTCTCTTTCATTAGACTGTAAGCTGCATGAGGATTAGGGGGAAAAATTGGCCTTGTTCATTACATAAATTTTGTTATCTAGCACTGACAACCATTTGTTGAGAAAATGAACTGATTAAATATTTTGGTATATATATGTTCAGTCCTTTATCTGATATGCATGTTTTCAACAAACTGGTTTTTTCTATGTAGCATTCATGCAGAAGTGGTTTCATACATATATACTGTATATACATATTATATGTATACAGTTTCACTGTTTTTCTGAATACAAGTCATATTGCTCAAAAAATGTCATTGCAGTGAATTACATAATATGTTTCTGAATACAGCAAGCAGGAAAGATGATTGCTGCATATTAGCCTACAATTAAATGGAATGTGAAAATGGCTGCTATTTTTGCACTTAGACCATGTCTCTCAGAGTTTTAAGCCAGTAGCCAGCTTTAGGGCCCTCTCATAGTGTTCCAGGGCTTCATTCATTTCTCCTTTCAATTTGTAGATGAACCCTAGGAGGCTCAAACTTTCCACATCTGATGCATTTCTTTGAAATCTTCTTAAAGCCAATTTCCCCAAAGAATTGATAGCTTTATCCCTTACAGCTGATGCCTTTTCTATTTTTATTGCTTTTAAATAATGGATAATTGCATTGACTTCAGATTTCTTTTGAAATTCCTGAAATCGGCCATAGTGAAAATGTAGCTTTTGCATTTTTGATTCTTCTAATGATTTGAGGCTTAGCGCTTTTTCAAAAGTGTCTTCAGCTTTTCTGTAGTCACCTATTTCTATATATATACTTGCCAGGTGTGCATAAGCAACATCAAATGTGGGCTTTTGTTTCACAGCATATTCCAAATGATAGATGGCTGATTTTATTCTGTCATGGGTTTCTCTATCCTGCCTTCTTGGCTGCCTATTTGTAGCTGTCTTCATTTGGATCACTTGTGTCCTGTAGCAAAGCCCTATCTGGTGATGCAGGAAGGCAGAGGTAGGTGTTGCTTTCAAGACCTTCTTTAAGAGGGAGAGAGCTTTATCCAAAGAGCCTTGTCTTCGGTAAAACTTGGCCGCATATCGAAAGACATAGATCTGGGAGGACATGCTGGTCAGTGCTTCTTCAATGTACTTTTCTCCTTCAGTTTCTTGTCCTACATCCTGAAGCTTCAGGGCAAGGAGAACTGTAAGGTATACGTCTTCTGGATTTAGCCTCACAGCCTTCCTTAGGGGTTCCAGAGAAATCCCATTTCTGTCTGTTTCCATGGTAAAGCCATCTAGGCGATAAATGGTAATTGCATATCCAGTGTTGAATTCAGGGTTTTCAGGGTCCACTTCCAGAGCCTTTTCAAAACAGGCCTTGGCCTGCTCATAATTTTGCCCTCCACACTTCAGCAAGGCCCATCCTTTTTCACAGTCCATCTCAGGGCACTCCATCCTGTAGCAGAAAGGACTTCCAAGCTTCTTGCAAGTGTTCTCCACCTTGTCCAGGTAAGTCTGGGCTTCTGTCAATCTTCCCATGTGGTAATATACCCAGGCATAGTTGCCCCAGGTAACCAGACTTCTCAAATCAGATTGGTCAGCATGTTCTTGCTGGATCAATTCTTCAGTTTTTTTCAAGCTCTCCAGGGTTTCCTCATTCTGCCCTTTCAGGTGTTTCATGTAGGCTAGCAGGTTGTGTATTCCCACCTTGTGTTTGATGTCTAGGAACTCAATTTCCTCCAAGATACGGCTTTCTAAATCAGGTATTTCACTGTCTTCAATTAGCAATGCCCACGTAAAATGACATCTCAGCTGTTCCAGCCTCTCCTTGAGCTCATCAGTACTCGTACTGTGAAAACAAAAGCAGATTTTCTTTTGTTAGGTGAGGAACAGCTAAAAGACCTAAGTCAGATAAATGCTTCATATTCTAGTCCTTACAAGGAACACACCTGCTTCAGTATTCATTAGAGTCCCTGTATTACTTAAGATCTGCATAGACTTTGAATGCAGTCTGCTTGACTTCATAGGTGAGTTCCAGTACTTTTAGCTGAGTAACCTCTCTGTGCTTCAGAGACACATCTGTGTAATGAGGTTAGTAATAGTACATGAAGATTTGCATTTGGTGAGGATCAATAAGACTATATTTGTAAAGCACTCAGCATATTATGTGCTAAAGAAGTGTTTACTATTTTATTATTAATATAATTGGGACAGGGACCAGTTAGAAATGCAGAACCTAGGAAATATTATTGACCTCAGGGCCTTAACCTATTGATTATGCAACAAATTAAGACCTTTGATTGGGACCTCTAGACCTATCTTTGCAGCCTCCTATAAATAGATACTAATTTCAAAATAAAAAGTTAAAAAAAGTGACTAAATATTATCTTTTGTAGATGGACTTAATTAGATGGGCTAAATTTAGATGTATTCTTAAAGATGTAATTTTATCACATGTATAGGTCCATGGAACCATCATGTCAATCAAGATGCAGAACTGTGCCATCACCATAAACATCTCCTACTTTATAGTCACAACCATTTCTCCCCTTCCCCTAGTCCCTGGCGACTACTAATTTGTTCATATCCAAAATTTTTGTCATTTTGAGAATATAAATAAGTGGAATCATAGAAGACATTATCTTTTGAGATTATTAATTTTTTTACTCATCATAATACCCTTGAGATCCATCCAAGTTGCTGAGTTTATCAATAGTTCATCCCATTCTATTTCCGAGTACTATTCAGCAGTTTGGGAGCTCTGGTGGGGTAGTGCATTTTACTGCTAACCAGAAGGCTGGTGGTTCAAACCCACCAGCCACTCCTCGGAAGGAAGGTTGGGCAATCTACTTCCATAGTGATATTGCCTTGGAAACCCAAGGAAGGACCTCTGTGAGTCAGTTCTGACTTGACGGCAGTGTGTTGTTGTTATTCAGCAGTTTATGTGTCTGAATCACAGTTTATTTGTTCCCCTACTATAGAACATTTTGGTTGTTTCCAGTTTGGGCCTATTATAAATAAAGCTAATATGAATAATCATGTGCAGGTTTTTGTATGGTCATAAATTTTTACTTCTCTGGGATAGATGCCCAGGAGTGTGATTGGCAGATCATGTGTTAAGTGCAGTGCAAAGGTTTGCACTGGACTGCTAACCTAAAGGTTTGGCTGTTTGAACCTACCCAGTGGCATCATGTAAGAAAGGCCTGGGGAATCTGCTTTCATAAACAGTATGGCCAAGAAAACCCTAAGGAACTTAGTTTTACTCTGGAACACATGGAGTCACCCTATGTTGGAAGTGATTCAATGGCAACAGATTATTTTTTGTTTTTATGATAAGTGTGTATTTATGTTTTAAAGACATTGCCCAAATGTTTTCCCAAATGGCTATACCATTTTACATTCCCACCAGCAGTGTATGGGTGATGCAGTTTTTCTCCATCCTTACCCACCAGGAGAAGATGGGATGCTACTATTTCATTACTGCCAGATGGGAGTGGAAGTTCAGGCCCCCCAGTAGGCTTTGGCTGTTATCATCCTGGCTAAGAGGGGTAGGGGTTCCTCATTACTCCTCCCCATGTGACCTCCACTAATAAGGAGTGATAGGGTGACTTCATTATCACTGGACAGTGATGAAAAAGTCCTCATTCTCCACTAGGCCGGATACCATTTGGGTGGAAGAGGAGGGCATACTTCATTACCATCAGGTGTTGGGGGGTGATATTGGTCTCCACAGACCTGGCAGTGAGGGAGAGCCTCATTCTTATAGGCAGGGATGAAAGTTTTGGCTCCCTACATAGCCTTCTCTGATACCAAACTATGTGGGAAGACAGAGGATTGGGATGGTTCCTTACAAACTGGTAAGGGTGGAAGCCTAGGCTCCCCGCTCAACACCATTGCTGGTGGTATTCAGGATGAGGCCACAGTTTTGTTTCTGTGGTGCATAGCTGGAGTACAGTGGTTATTATGAGAAGGTTTTCTATTTTGATAGGCTACCCTGCCCCTTTTCTGCTCCTTTGACTAGAAAGAGCAGACTTTTGGGGGACTTTTCTGTCTGTGTCTGATGGTGTTTCCAGTTGCTTGTCCAGCACTCAGTCTAGGATATATGAGGCAAAGAGAAAGCCTATGTCATCCCATATGTCCCAAGCTTCCTAGCTGGTTTGCATTCTCTCCTCCACCATTCAGATACTCTTATGTTTGTTCTTTGTTTAGTGTACAGGAGTTGTAGCTGCACTTGTTGGGAGGAATCGGGAAAAATATGTCTACTGCATTGTTCTGGATGTGGAAGTCCTTTACCAAGTATTGATATGATTTATCCTGTTCCTATCACTAAAATGATGTCAAGAGAAATGAGAATGACAAGTCTGCTTGATGATGTGTTTGTGTGTGTGATTTAGTGTGGGGGCAAATGTACTGTTTCTTCTTTCCCTATGTTCCCAACATGGTTTGCAGGTGAGGCAATTCCTTTTATTATCTGGTGGAAGAACACTTGTTATTTCTCACTCCTGACACTGACTTCCAGAATGCAGAGTCAGGCTTAATTTGGGTTTCAAATGATAGAATTGGACTGGGGAATGTGGCGATGCATTTGGTCTGCCAACTCGTCTTGAATTACCCAGCTAGTCGTTGGGGGAGACATTGAAGAATAGTGAATTTCTTTCAGGGAAGAGATATCCTGTCCCAAAAGCTTTGGCTTTGGGGGAAGGAACCCAAAAAAGAAGATGGCACTCTGCATGTCCAAGAGAGCCAGAGAGGTTACCTTTTTAGTGAATAAAAATGTGGCCCATGGATGGCAGTAACTACTACCATCTCAAATACATTAGTCATTCCTGTGGGAAAGAAGGAGTAAGGGGGTGGAAGACAATCCAAAATAAATTTCTTAAATCAAAACAAAACAACAAAAATATTAGAAGATGATCTGGGAGACAATATGATCATGTAAAATTTTTAAAACTTATCTATGGCAAAGGTGCTATAACAAGTTAAACAGAAAAATCAACAGTAGGAAATGTTTTTAATAGATAATGAGAGTTCTTATTCTGTAAGATGGGAACTCTGGTAGCATAGTGGCTAAGGCACTTGACTGCTCACCAGAAGGCTGGCGGTTCAAACCCACCAGCCACTCCTCGGAAGGAAGGTTGGGCAATCCTACTTCCGTAGTGATACTGCTCGGAAACCCAAGGAGGGGTCGCTATGAGTCGGGGCCGACTCAACGGCAAACAACAACAACAACAACATCAACGGCAAACAACAACAACAACAACATTCTGTAAGATATGAAGTGTTTTTGAAAGTTGGCAATAAAAACTCAACAGACCAATGGAGATTTATATGAATAGATGATTAATAGAAGAGGAAATATAAATAGCTGATAAAACCACAACAAAAAACTTGTTACTGTTGAGTCTATTATAGTGACCCTATAGAACACAGTGGAACTGCCTCATAGGATTTCCAAGGTTGTAATATTTATGGAAGCAGACTGCCACATCTTTCTCCCACAGAATAGCTGATAGGTTCGAACAGCTGACCTTCTGATTAGCAACTGAGAGCTTAGCCACTGCCCACCAAGGCTCCTTCTAAATAGCCAGTACCCACCAACCCACTACCATTGAGTTGATTCCAACTCATAGTGGCTCTCACTGGGTTTCTGAGGCAGTAAATCTTTGCAAAGTAGATTGTTCCTTCCATGGAGTGGCTGGTGGGTTTGACCCACCAGCCCTCTGGTTAGCAGTCAAGTGCCTTAGGTATTGAGCCACCAGAGCTTCTTAAATAGCCAATAGATGTCAAAAATACTGTGGCAGTTAAATTTGTGTTTCAACTTAGCTAGGCCTGGTTGAGTGGCTGGGCAGCTGGATGTAATATTCCCCATGCTGAGACTGGTAATCAACTCCATGCTGCGATCTACTGTGAACAGCTGAATAGGATGTGATCTGCTTCCTGTACATAAGGAAAAGCCTTAGGGAATGGTCTCTAGCTTATGGCATGCTTGAACCCTGTGTGTAGCCGTGTCATTTTTCAGCAGCCTGCCATGTTCTGCCAACCCTGGGACTTTGAATGGGCGTGAATTAATGTCCTGCAGTGTGGTTTGATAACACCGGGACTGTGCCTTATTACTTGTCAACCTTGGGCTTGTCAGCTTCAGCAGCCAGCAGCTGTCTGAAGAAAAGCTTCTAGCTCCAGTGGGTCAGGAGTAGGAAGCAGAGCTGAAGCCTAAGGCCGAGGGGCTTTCACCCAGCCCCTAGAGCCTGGCACTTTGAGCTTGGACTTAAAGCCTCCAAACTGTAAGAGAACAAACTCCTGTTTGTTCAAGCCATCCCATTTGTGGTATATTTCTATCAGAGTGGCACTAGGTAACCAAAGCAGATACGAATTGCTGCAATCGTGATTTTTTTTTTTTTTAACCATTTTTCTTATGCTTTACGTGAAAGTTTACAGAGCAAGCTCATTTGTCATTCAGTAATTTATAAACAAATTGTTTCATGACATTGATTGCAATCCCAGTATGTCATTACTCTCTCCCTCTCCACCCCGTTTCCCATTTCCCCAGTTTTCCTGCCTCTTCTTGCCTTCTCATCTGTGCTTTTGGGCAGGTGTTGCCCATTTGGTCTCAGAAACTTGATTGTTCTAAGGAGCACATTTCTTCACAGGTGTTTAGTTCATAGACCTGTCTAATATTTGGCTGAGAGGTGAACTTCTGGAGTGGCTTAGTTAGAGGGGTGTTGCAAAAAATGTGACTTGCTCTAACTTTGCAAGGGGGAGACAGAATCACCATCAGCAGCTCAGGGCTGATAATTATCAGGTGGGGTCCAGATATGCTGTCACCCTCTAACCTTCTTACCAGTTCTGACATCAACCATCCCAGGCACTTTCTACTTCTCTACTAGGTTCAATAGTTTGTTGCAGTGGCCACCCAGAGCTCACAGACCATAGTTAACATTATGGAGTTTATTAGAGAAACAACAGGTTACAATCCAGGTTCAGGAATGATACCATTCTTTGATCAGTCCAGCCTCCCCCCTGCTATGGCCATAGGCATGACTCTCTCTGGCTCATGGCCTGTCAGCCTGGTCTCTGCTCTGTTCAGGCAAGAGTTACAAAGCTCTTTCAGCTCTGCCAATAGGTGCACTCCAATCTGCCAGAAAGCCTCCTGCCTAAAGGCACTCAGCTTCTCACCCCATGGCCAGCAAGCCCACCACTCTGTCTCATGCCCGTCTCTCAGTTCTGCTGCTGCTGCCGCCGCCGCCATCTCTCTGCCATTGTCTCAGCACAGGGGTCTTGGTCTCGTGTCCAAAGATGCCCTCCGATCTAGGCTCTTTGTCTTGATGGTATGAAATCCTTTCTTCTGCCTCTATGAGGGCTCATTTTAAGCCTAGTAAGATAACAAAACTGGCCATTCCTTACATTAGGGTTCCATATACCTCATTTGCACAGTCCAGCCCCTACTAGGAAGGAGCTCTGTCTTAGGCATAGTGCCTAAGGTACCATGGACTTTATTTACACTACTAACAAGCCACTTCTCAGAAGGAAGGTTGGGCAATCTATTTCCATAGTGATACCACCTCAGAAACGCAAGGAGCAGGCGCCATGAGTCAGGTCTGACTCCACAGCACATAGCAACAACAAGCTATCCAATCCCTGTGGTGCTCTACAAACACTTTACACTTGCATATTCCACCAAGTCATTTGGAGGGAGTCAAAAAGTCCATGGCTAGAACAGCTGTACTAAGTAATTCACTATACAACAGGTATCTAAGGGCCATAGTATCAGGGGTTCCTCCAGTCTCTGTCACACCAGTAAATGTTTTTTTTTTTTTTTTTTTTTTTCTGTGAATTTGAATTTTGTTCTACATTTTTCTTATGGCCTTTTTAAAGATCAATCTGCTGATAGTCATTAAAATAAAAAATACGCATTTTCGTGGAGAAAGTAATTCCATCCCTAGGAATCTTATCTTCCAGATAGAACCACCAGTACAGAAGTATTTATGTCCAAGAATATTCTTGCAGTGTAGCTAATTGCCTCCATAAACAACTGCCTCCTTTGCCATGAGAAGACTGTATGGTGCCTGGTTACCATTACTGAACTTTTTGATGAAAGATTCCAAAGAAGAATCCTAATCAAAAGGGGAGAACTGCAAAACCGAATTTCAGATTCTTAAGGACTCTAGACTTTCTGCTGAATCAACCCTTGGAACTAATTGCCCTAAGATAATCTTTAAACCTTAAACCAGAACTATCCCCTGAAGTCTTAAAACTGAACAATAGTTTTGCTTAACTAATAAAAAAAAAAAAGGTCTGCCTTGAGCATTATGCCCTCTTAGGAATTATATGGATCAAATTGACAACAGCAACTCAAAAAGATTAGATAAGAACCTTAGGGTGCAGTGAGTTTATGTTAAAGGGGGAGGAACAACTTAGTAAAGGAGGGTGAGAACAGTTGCACAACTCAAAGAATGTCATCAGTGTCACTAAATGGTACATGAAGCAACTGTGGAGTTGGTGTATATTTTGCGGTGTATATTCTAAACAACAACAAAATTGAAAGAAAAAAAAAAAAAAAGCAGAGATAGGGGAAGAGAGATGCCAAGCTACATAAAGATTGCCCAGGAGCAGAAGCTCAAAGAGAAAAGGACCTTCTAGAGCTGACGGAGAGAGAAAACCTTCCCCAAGAGCCAGCACCCTGAATTCGGACTTCTAGCCTTCTAAACTGTGAGAAAATTTTTTGTTTGTTAAAGTGAAAAAAAACCCAACCATATTCATTGCAGCATTTTATATATTGCCAACAAATAGGAAAATATCACTTGGGAACAGTTAGATAAATTATGGTACATCCATAATGATCTTTGACTACCCACTTCATTTGGTTATGGACCAAAGAGAGGAGGGGAATTCATCATATGCCTGAAATTGTTCATTTTCTAGGACTTTTGCCTCCTTCAGAATTTTTCCCACTGGAACACTGGGGAAATTTGCCTAAGGCACTTGACTGCTAACCAGAAGGCTGGTAGTTCAAACCCACCAGCCTCTTCTTGGAAGGAAGGTTGGGCAATCTACTTTCATAGTGATACCGCCTTGGAAACCCAAGGAAGGGTTGCTATGAGTCAGATCTGATGGCAGTGGGTTTGGTGGTTGGTACTAATCAGTAGATTTTGATCTGTTGATATTACTTAAAATAAAGGTTCTATTTGGACAATCTAGAAATTCCCATGTTAGACCCTTCAGGTAAGGAAGTTGTTGATGTTCCCAAGCACTGAACTCCTGCCAACTCCCCTAAACAGGAAAATATCAAGGCTTGAAGACAGCTTGGCTTCTCCAGAGGAAGAGCTGTGTGCAGGTGCCACTGATCCAGTCAGACTGAGGCAGGAAAGAGACATAGTCCAGCAGTACAGATAGACAAAAAGCCTACAGAAGAAAGCCTTGTTCTCTAGCCTAGAGCTCCTTCCACCACATCCCCACAATATTCTCTCGCAAGACTTTTGGGAGACCCCAGAACTGAGGCTTACAGAGTCCAGTGGGTCCTACTTTTTCAACATGGTGAGGAACCAGCATAAAGCAATGCTCTACCAAGACCAGCTAGCTGTCCACTCCCTCCCTAGGTCAGATAGAAATGAGTTTGGTGGAAAAGATTTCGGAGGTTGGGATAATTTTCTCACTGTCTGCCAAACTCTTCTTATTTTTCTCCCCTTCTTTGGGCTATATCATGAGGTAGGTATCTTTAGGGTGATGCTAACAGAAATGAAAATCCCTGTTTAAAACACACACACACACACACACACAATCCATCTGAAAGCAAATGCTGAAATACAAGTTAGGAAACAACCTCAGTGAGACCAACTCTGTTATACTGAGATAGTACTAACATTAAAACAAAACAAAAACCCCAAACAACAACAACGTCTAGGCATAATGAAAAGAAGAGCTGAAAAGTCCTTACCTCATGGTTGCTGTGAATTGGCAGCGTTCTGCAGTGCTGAGCTTCCTGGACTCCCCAGAGATGTAGTCTGTGTTGTGGATTGGCAGGCACATCTAGCTCCAATAGAGGGATATATAAAGGAGGTAAACAGCAGTTATGACATAATGTGAGGGTGTGTTGTTGCACACATAAGAGGGAAACCGAAAGTAGAAAGTGAAACTAAAATAAAAAATGAAACTTGAACAGTGATGCCTCTTTTGTGTTCTGCTTGGGGTAAGCGCTAAGCTTTTCAAAACTGATTGAGAGGATGCCGGTGAAAAACAGTTTCACGGATGTGCTCATTCCTCTGGGGGGGGGGGTCTTCCTGCCCTTGCAGAGACTTGGGAGCCAGGAGACCAGTGAAAATTGGCTGTGTAAAGGAGATTAAGTCATGACTACTATCCGAGCCTGTGTTTCTTCATCTGGAAACAGGGAGTTGTTCTTTCATGGTATAAAATTCTGTAAATCTCTAAGTTGGAGTCTTAACCCAAATTTGCTCCTGTTCTCTGAGGGGTCATGTCTCACTAATTATTCTGTGCTTTTGGATCCTTGCCTAGAGAATGTTGTTGTTGTTGTTGTTATGTGCCATCGAGTTGGCCCAACTCATAGCAACCCCTCCTTGGGTTTCCGAGGCAGTATCACTACGGAAGTAGATTGCCCTATCTTCCTTCCGAGGAGTGGATGGTGGGTTTGAACCGCCAGCCTCCTGGTTAGCAGTCAAGTGCCTTAGGCACTACGCTACCAGAGCTCCTAGGCACTGACAATAAGAGGCGTGTAACCTTTAAGAAGAAAGGTTCTTAAAAAGGTTCTTATTCATTGGAGTGGAGAAAATGTATGTGCTAACATGTTGTGTCTTTCAAACAAAACATATTGTTCTATTGTTAGCCATGTTTTTCCACAGAAACATGAGCAAGTCAGAAGATTCTATTCCAATAAAAACTGTTGAATTAATAATACAGGTTTATCCATGTGTTCAGATACATGTTGAGGCTAAAACTGGAAGCAAAATCTGAAATAAACAAATTAGAAAAATCTCCAGTTTTTAGAGAGAGCAAGGTGACTTTGGAATTTTCATGGAAAGAAAGAAGTGAGTTCGTAATTTTCCGACACATGCAGAGAAGCCGACAAGTGGGTTATCTCTCTGTTGCTGTGAGTTTGGCAGTGGTCTGGTTCTGTGGGGCTCTGGCTCATGCTGATAAGGTTGAGAATCTTGCCCAGTGTGTCCTTGGCATAAACAACCCACAAGCGGCACAGGGTAGAGCACTATTGAGAGGGAACAGCCAATAGTGTATGTGTGTGTGTGTGTTTACAAATAGGAAGAAAATGGGATCTGAAGGGAAAAAAACTTTCAGAAAATGAAACTTTAGCACTAGGCCATGACTCCGTTTCCAGGAATCTTGCAGTAACTGACCAGCTGTGATGAGCCACTTCACCTCTGGGAGTCACCGTTTCCACGATAGATAAACAAGAGAATTACAAGAGATGAGTGGATCTCAACCCTCATTGCACATTAAATCAACTACCAAACCAAAAACCAGACTCACTGCAATCGAGTCGATTCCAACTCAGAGTGACCCCCAATGGGTTTCCAAGGCTATAAATCTTTACAGAAGTAGACTGCCTCATCATTCTTCTCAGGAGCAGTTGGTAGATTCAAACCATTGAGCTTATGGTTAACAGCCAAATGCCTTAAGCACTGCGCCAGCAGAGCTGCTTTAAATCAACTAAAACCCATTGCCATCCAGTCGATTCTGCCTCATAGCAACCCCCATTGGGTTTCCAAGGTGGTAAATTTATACAGAAGTAGATTGCCTCTTCTTCCTTCCGTAGAGCATCTGGTGGGTTTAGAACTGGCAACCTTCTGGTTAGCAGTCAAATGCTTTAGGCACTGCACCACGAGAGCTCCTTTTAAATCAACTAGGAAGGTGTTTTTTTTTTTTTTTTAAAAAACACTAACTAGCTTCACCCCAGGTCAATTAAATGCATCTTTGGGAATGAGTCCCAGCTTCAGTATTTAAAAAAAAATTAAAAAACCCAACCCTCGGGTGATTTTAATATACACCTGGGCTGAACTGACCTAGTTGATACCTGGTAGCTATAGTGTGTCTGGAACTCTCCAAATCAGTGATGTGGGACTTAACCCCAGGGCACACTACCTTTTTGTGAGGCACTAATTATCTTCATTTTGCTGTTCCTTGTCTTTCCACCTACACAATGGAAATGAACTCCTTAGTTTCACTAATCCACAGAGTGACATGGAAAGTGAGTAGAGTTCCATATGTTTTGACTACTTTATAAAAAGTATGCTCTTATCTTTTGAGATTATTTCTAAACTCCTTCCGATCATGTTTAAGGAGAAGGAATTCAGACAACAAAAGTCTGTTGTTGTGAGTGGTCCATTGATTTTTGCATCTTCTCCTGGATCTCCAAGGATCTACTCAATTTATGGTGATTCATAATTTGGCTTACTGCAACATAAATCAGTACTAAACTTTAGTTTTAAAATTTCAAATTTATGTAAATGTAGAAAATAAGAGTTTTCTTTACATTTCAAATACTTGTAGACACACAGGAAGCTACAAAAATAATAAAGTCCGTAAAAGGGTGTACCCTTCACCCAACTTCCCCCAATGTTGAAATCTTATCTAACTGTAATAGAACATTAAAACCAGAAAGTTGACATTGGTATGTATTTTAAAGATAAAATATATCATGAATTCATCTTATAAATTCAGGTCTACAGGTTTTTACTTAACCTCTTTGACCTGACAAACTGTTTTAATTCTCTGTGAATCCAGAGTTCTGGGTTCATGGATGTGCGGTGACCAACTCAGGCCATCTGCTCTTAGGTAACCTTTTGAATCTTGAGCCTTTAAAAACCAAACCAAACTCACTGCCATCCAGTAGATTCCAACTCAGAGTGACCCCAATTGTGTTTCCAAGGTGCAGAATCTTTACGGAAGTAGGTTGACCCATCTTTTTTCCATGGAGCTACTGGTAGGTTTGAGTCACCAATCAATAGCATAGTAAGCAGCTTAGCAGAGATCATTTTGCCTTAGACAGTGGGCTCTTTTAGAGAATTATCTATGCACAGCCAGTTTTCAGGAGCAGGAAACCCAAGATCTGACTGGAAAAGGTATTGCAGTCCTTGGTGACTCTATTTCTCCAGCTGACCAACCCTGGAACCCATACTTGTTCTGATGCTATCTCCTGAGAAATGTGTTAATGACACATATAACCCATTTTCACTGTCACCTCTTCAGAACACCAGTTGGCGCTGCCTGATTCAAATCATACATACTTACAGTAAATATTTTCTGTTACACTGATTTTTGGTGTTGTTCTGCACATTTAGTTTTTATTAACAGATCTCACATCTCTATCTCTTTTCTCCCAAATTGAACATTTCTCAGTGATACCAACATAGTTAGTCATGTAATCTATTCCATAACACACAAATAACAGTCTCAGAATAACAAAATCAACAACAACAACAAAAAAAAAACACCTACAAAATAGTTACTGCCCCCTGGAGAAGGACATCTTGCTTGGTAAAGTGGAAGATCATTAAAAAAGAGGAAGACCCTCAACAAGATGGATTGATGCAAAGATTGCAACAATGGATTCTGATAGCAATGATTGTGAACATGGCACAGGACCAGGCAGTGTTTCATTCCTTTGTACATGGGGTAGCTATGAATCAGAACCAACTCGCTGGCACCTGACATCAGTAAAAGTTTTAGGTTGTTTTTTTCCTCCTGTTTTTTTTTTTTTTTTT